GGAGCCAGTAAAACTTGCAAAGAATATTAGTTATGTCCTGATGCAGAGTATGCTACTTTTAGTAATTGTGGTAATATATTCTGGACATACTGAAGGTTGTTTGGTATCTTTGAAGATATCCCAGGAAGTAAGTGATGCCATTAGTCAGTATTAGTGAAGTGAAGAGATTCAAGGTATCAGAATCCACACAATTATGGATTAAAAATGTTAACTCTTATCTAAGGTGTGATGGATGTGAATAATACACATTTGTGCATAAACTAGCTGAATTATATTCTTCTCATTATTTTATTTTATAATTCACATCACTATTGAAGAATGTGATGAATAGTGTTTATTACTATACCTTTTAATTTTGGACTGCTCTTTCCCTGATAGTAATCTGTAATTGGGAAATTAGTGAGTTTATATTGTTGTGCAACTAATTTTACAGAAAAAAAAAACGCTAGCTGCTGTGCAATTGAATTATATGAATAAATCGCTTAGAGAACACTTTCAAAGTTGACAACACATAAGGTTGAAATTGAGGAAGACAGTATACAGCAGACTCACGTTTTAAAATATTTACCGCAGATTGGTATATACGAAGTTGAAGGCGAAGAAATAAATGATAAATCAAAAAACGAGGGAATTTTTACTAATTCAAATCTTTCGCGTCATACACCTACATCTACACGCTTTGGGATTTAGTATCAGGGACTATCGCATGCCAATGCTTTGTTTATCGTATGGCATCACCTTCAATATGGTTCGTAAACTGAATTATACGCGATTTTGTCAGTAAACAAACGCGCTGTCAGGAACCTACCACATAAAACGCGAGTCTGCTGTATGATAAGATGTTATATGAATGGTTATAAACGGGAGGCCATGCGACCCATCTAACTCATTTGGTTCCTAGTAGGTAATTCATCTGAAGATGTCATTTTCTTAAAAAATCGGGGTGTCAGCTATTAGATTTAGTGATTTAAATGAGTTATAGTGGCTTTGCGATTTAGCTCTTCGTTCACAAAAGGTTCATTTTTTAATGAAATGCACCTTATCCAATGATTACTTCCATTATTTACTTCCAACATTATTGAAAATACTAATAAATTTCCTTTTAGCATTTGTTTATATTCCTGTCTCCTTTAGAACAACATATCCTGTTGGTGCTCTACCATTTTAAACTGTTACATAATTTCCATGTCTGAGCTACATCACATCAACTGATAAGGTCAGAACCAGCACTGGTTACTGTGGCATTAAACGGACAAGAGTGATCCCTACCTGGACAGGTCACTATGCAGGGGGTACAGCCAAGTGTAAAGATGGTCCCTATTTCTACAACTGAGTCAACTGGAGGAACTGGGGTAAAATTCTGAACTCAAGGTACAACAGCAGGACTGCAGCATGAATTTGAACCCACAACCCATCTGTGATGAGTCAGAAGACTTACTCAGTAAGTCAGAAGCTACTCTGAAGCTACTCTGATCTCCAAAATGTTTATTATACTGTTGCAAATACATATTACTATGGAGGAACTCCATAGAGATAATCCTTGTACCTTACTCAGGAATTTACAAAGTATTTCCTACATTTTATAACTCAAAATACTAAATAATAAAGTTGTTCCAGAATCAAGCCATCTTCTGATTGTGTTTCTTTTAGTGTCACTGTATTTGTTGACTTCAGACTTGTACAAACACTTGAAAATGATAGTCAATAATTGTTCATGAGGCTGTACTGAGGTAGGTAATGATATACATGTAGATGCCACCCATCTTGATTAGAATTCTGTGAAATGTTGCACTGTTTCATTTTGTTATTTCCTCTAATGCAGTACATACAAGTTTTACAACAGTTCATTATTCTTCAGTTCCTTCGTATTGAACTGAATCAGAATGTTCTCTTCTTAAGGGGCTGTCAAGCAGGTCATGGTCAGTGCCCAAAATGACAAGCTCATATGACCAGACAACAGGTGTCTAGGTTCAATGGTGCATGCTCTGGATCAGTTTGTTGACAGACTCCAAGACAGGCATACAAAGTATCTTTGCTACAGCGTAAATATTTAAAATCTGATGGACATTTTAAAAATTTGTAGAAGTGAAATATTTTTGTAGGTAGTGTCAACTGATGATAACTAATGTCCAAACACTTCTACTAATTAACAAATGACTTGTCAGTGACAAACTATCATCATCATTTTTTCCACAATGGGACAAAATGAGGAGCACACTACAGAGCTAACTATTATGATACAGAACAATATCAAGAAAGAAAAGATGTATAGTTGTAATGCAAAACCAAATATTTAAAGGTAGAAGCAAACGGTTTCAAAGAGAGTTTTTCACAGATCTCTGGGAAAATCCAAAATTATTGGTAAAGCAGAAAGACAATATTTTTTAGATGTTCATGTAAAAACCTAAAATAAAATCCAGTGACCTACAGAATGATTTGGCAGAACCACACATTCATGTAGTTACCTCATGGCATGGGTCCACTTTATCTCATTAGGAACTGGAAATCATTCTATGATCAAAGTAAACCTTTACACATCATTGCTAGTATTCTTTGGACCATCATCAGATTTTGCCTCTCACTTCAGCATTACATGAATCTCAAGCACAGAACCAAGTAAACTACAGAATTTTTTAATGATGTTTCAGATCAAATGCTGAATTCATCATTCAGACTTTGAAAAATGTTTTCAATCATTTTTATATCTAGAAGGTTGTGGAAACATTGGAAAGTTGCTGTTAAATATCTACATAGGGATATGTAGATAGCTGTCTCCTATGTAAATTTGTCTGCCTGTATGTGCATATATATGTTTTGTTTTGTCTGCTTATATCTGAACACATAGAAGCTAACATAAAATATTTTGTATAGGTAGATAGAGGTCCGGGAGGTGATTAGGTTTTTTATTACTTGATGATCCATCAGTATAGACCAAGAGTCCACCACCATGGACATAGAGACCCCTAATCCTGATAGTCATATAGGGCAGTCTAAATGCTGCTATTATTTGAAGGAAGAGAAACACTTAGAAGTTATTGATCGATTATGTTAGCAATTTTCTCACTAGCTTTGGTTTTTGAGAGCTGAATGATATTCTTTGTTTTGGGCCAAATCATCTCTAAATTTCTTAATTTAGCAAATAACCTATTTAATATATCAAGCTAAATTGTTCCAAGGCTTTAAAAGTTGTTCATTTGTATTTACCTCTAAATCTATAAATCTAAAATCTGATTAACTGTGGCTAAAATCTGATTAAATCTCCAGGACCTGGGTTAGACACCACTCCACCTATGTGTTTACTCTGTTTGTGCAGCTGAACATAAAAGTTCTTTGAAATCCTTTGGAAAGAAAAGCAGTATAGTATATGCATTGAAGGAAGTGTCATTATTACTTCTGTATAATAAGAATAAGAAGAGAATATTGATCTGATTTGATTGAATTGGTTAAGATTTAGTTATGTCACCCCGCTGGTTTAAATCTCTGACTGGACACTATTGTACCCCTTTGCATGGTACTCATATTCTCTCTCATTTGTCTGAGTAAAAACAGGTTTAGAGATTATAACTGCAAAGGTCGATTGACATTTTTTACTAAAAAATGGTCTCCTAAATTGATTCTGTTATGTGGCAGTACTGGTACTGACTAAACATTTGTACCACAACTAAAAAGTTTGCTCCTCTTGCGTTGCCTTGTTTTTCTGAGATGTACCTGTAAATGTCTGCTTTGCTTTTCTACGTAGGCTCACTCATTCATTTGGGATATAAATACTTGTGAATATTTTCAAAGCATTTACACAGTGGTGCAGTAATTTTAATTTTCTTCTAGAATTCAATGCGATATTGTAGTATTTATAAACAACACCAACATACTAAAAGCGTTAGGCCAATTCAGGCATAAAATTATTTAGTTTATGTATATATCTTATAACCATTACCTTTCTTATCCTGTAATATATGGGGCTTATTACAAACCTAGACGGTTATATAGGCATCAAGGTAAATTTGTGTGCCTCCATTCCATAATAAAGACTCCATATGTGTTGTGGCTGCGATTCCGCCACCAGGATTTTTGATCCAGCCCATTACAGATAGTGCGCCGCTGACCTGCATAAAGCAAAAAGTGGCACCATAGGGATATAATCTCAGACTCATGTGCCAGTGCATTATAAGGATCCAGGATTAAGTACCGTTCTTTCAGAAGTCGGTTATCTACTGTTCCCTAATTATCATGTCTGTAATATAAATGTCTGTAGTTATTATTTAGTGTGTACATATGATTATATACGTGGTTAGAATAAGATACTTTTGTGCTAAGTGTACCTACCCCATTCTGTAATCAAACCAGCTACATTTTTAAATAATAGTCTGAATCGTATTGAACACTGGTCATACGCTGCATAGCAGCTTGATTGTAATAACGCCTACTCTATGCATACACATAAATAACATAAGAACTTCGGTCGGAACATTAAGCATCGAAATATAATATATAGTCCTGTATTCATTCTTTCTTTTAAACGTTTTCAAAGTATGCTTGTAATATAGAAGAAAAGTTAATACTTCGTATCGTATAGATATCCGTCCTTAACTTGGTATTTGCCTATGTTGGATTCTGTAATTACAATAAACACCTGGAACTATAAAATGTTACATAAAAACAATTAAACTATAGGTGGGAGAAAAAAAGTAATAAAGATAATTTCTGAGACGTACTGTGCGTCTTTGGTATTAAAATGAATACCAAAATCTATTTGTTCCCAGGTACAGCGTAAGAGAAAGAGTTGAAAGCATTGCAAAGTAACGGATTAACTAGCTAACTGGAAACTATATTTCGAAACATCCTCCAAATATAAAAAAAAAAATAATAATACATTTATCTCTACAGGACGTGGCTTTCAGATTTGGGTCTACCTACAGAATCCCATTAGTTACTCCCTTTGTTGTTGTTTAGTTGTATTTAGAGGGCGGGACTGAAACTGAAATGAACAAGGCGCGGCCAGAGCCCCCTTCACACGTGCAGACAAAGAGACCAAACAACACAACCAAAATATTCCCGTATAAACTTTTTGAGGGACGATGACGGCTTTCCAGTATGTCTGGAAAAGTACGGTCCAAGCCACATTTTGTAAATACTGTAGTTATTTGGGATTTAATTCAAGTTGTAGACTTGTTTTTTTAGAAAAAAAGTTGCTGAGAGTTGGTGCGTCAGCCTGCAAAGTTGAGCACAAAACGGAGAGGAGCGTTCCTTTGTTCTGCGAAGAGCTTTGATGGGAGATCGTGGAAGGATCACTGCAGTTATCCTTTTTTCTATCTGCTTTTAAATTCTTTAGAGACCAAAGGAAAATCTGGAAAAGTACGATTGCCTGGTATGTATTTTTTGTGAGACTTCTCTCTTGCCTGTAAACAAAAAAAAAACTCAAAAGTTGATTGGTTTGAGAAGTTTGCAGAACATTACGCACGGCGACGATTTGACTAATTAACGCTAGGGCGAAAGATGCACCACTTTTCAAAATAATTGTTTGTGCTGAGCAATTATCATGAAACAGGAAAACATTTGTATCATTTAAGTAACACGAAATGAGTTTCAAAATGAAAGGAGAAAAATATTAGTGTATTTATTAAATTATGTACTTTCCTTTCTTTAAACTCTCCACAAAATTAATGTCATTACTACTGTTTTAGTAAAAAAGTATTGTTCGTATTGAAAAGAGCAATGGACAAAAAAAACATCGGCTGCTAACTAGTGAAGTGTACAGTATATGCAACAGGTAGAAGCAGTCTGGTGCTTCTCCTTTGTTATTGAATTTAAAAAAAACATCGTCGAGTCTTTGTTCTCAGCTTGAGAAACTTGAAAAGTAATACTATGCTCCGCAAAACCTTCTTTGTCAGAGCTCCAAGAAATTAAGACACTATTCAAATTAAGGTGTTATCTATTTTATTTCAGTTGATTTAGAAAGTAGTTATGAAAAAAGGATATACATTAGTTATATTGGCTAAGTAAAACCTATTCGTGGGGGGTACTAATGACATGAAATGGACTACAGATTTGATTTAGATATTCACAACTATTCTGTTGATTTTCAAGCCGTTTTATTAGACAGCGCAAATGGAACTGCCTTTTGTCTAGTAGGAGACCGACGTTTTCTTCTAATTGTGTTTTTAAAAACAGTTTTCAGATGCTTCTGAAATGTTTTTTAAACATGCATTTCTGATCACATTAATTTAAAATTTCTTACTAAAGGTAGTTTTACAACCAATCTGAGTGATAAAGTAACGCGTGAAAGTACTGGAGTATAATACCAAGCTTGAATAAAATTACCTATAAGATATAGATTTATGATAAATTACTTATTTTAGCAACAGTTTAACATAATAATGTTTCATATATAAGCCTCATTGATTACTGTAGGTCTATCACATCCAGTTTCCCATCACTTAACCAGAAAACATATAAACAAATAAGAGTAGCTTCAGTGCAATGCCCATTTAATATAAACCCGCGTGTAAAACAAGTGCTTTTGAATTTTATAGTGCAGGACAAACCGAACTTTTGTTTTTGTCCTCCTGTTTTCATTTGCTTTTATGTATTGATATTAATATACATCCGACATCTTGTTGGCTTGAAATTATTGTTTAAGATTTACTGCATTTACTGAACGTTTAATTAAAAGGATTGTTCAATGCATCGTTATCTGACAGAAAAAGGAAAAAAAAACACATTTAATATGACAATAATAATAAGGTGTAAAATATAAGATAAAATATAAACTGTCGGTTTTAGTGGGTAAATTGAATTAAGTAGTCTCATAACTTGTACTTTGCGTCCTATATTACATAAGGGTTTAGTCAAACGCCCTTATCTTTTGATAAACTATTTTTTCTAGTTATTAAGTAAAACTGAATCTCTTTCCTTTACAAAAATAAAACGCTTCTTTTTCATTTTTTTGTAGGTATTTTGCAGGATGCTGTAGAAGGATATATAAAAAGGAAACTCCTGGATACTTCTTATTTACTGGATTTACAGTAACCTGCAATACACAGTCTTCAATAGAAACATGGAAACGTCTGGCTCAGGTGCTTTTTTGTGCTTCATAAACACAAGAGTTATATCCATTGGATTTATTCAAAATCCGGATTACAGTGGTTTTCATGATGCAAATCGTTCTGAAACTGGATTAAAGTATTGGAATATTTAACCGCTGTAATCAGAAACGATTCAAGGTACGTTTCCTTCAATTACATAACACTTTCAGTAAGGGCAAAGAGTTAATACACTGAATCTTTGGCTGTTTAATATCTAAAGTACACGATTTGATTTGTACGATATCTACTGTTAATACTATAATAGCGTGTATGTTAATCACCCATTTAAATTAGTTAATAGTTTTCTGCGTTTTAGGCGTTAGTGTGTAATCCCGTCAATATTGAAATCAACAGGCCAAACATTTTTCTCCTTAAACTTAGTGGTTTTGGGTACTGAGAGAAGGCGATCCATTCACTATACTCCAGCTCCACGTTCATATGTTTATGGGTTATAGAATAAAAAAAAATAGTTGTTGGTGTTTGCGAGTTTGATTAAGTGAAAATGTTCTTCAGCAAGCTTGAAGCTGGACAGCGTCCCTGACTTGGACTTGTGAAAAGGGAGATGCCGTTTGGATTGCGACGCAGGTGGATAGTTTTTAGAATGCCCCTGCGTTTTATCATTACTGTACAAAGGTTTCTAGCGGCGCGGCACATAATTTTCTGCGTTTTAGAGCACCTACCAAAGTTTTTCACATTATAATCGCTTGTTGTGTGAAAGGGCTTTCTTCCACGGCTTTCAAAAGCAGACACGGTTTGATTGCTGCTTGCGTTTCAGCGCACCTCTAAGATGATGTCACTGGAAGCCAATCATATCTTGAGTTGCCCCCCCCTTTCAGCATTACACATACAGTACACTTTTTTTTTGTGCGTTCTGTTTTTTTATCTTGGCATTTGTATTCTGATAGAATCATTTTAATTTAATGTCCATCTTAAATATTTGAAAGATCATTTTCACATTATTGTATTTTTATGGTAAATATTGCTCTCTTCCTTTGCAGAGCGTTTATTGTGTCTGCATAGTGTATATGTCACAAATGTAAGGGTATATGCTAAATGTTGCTTTCAGAATTATGAAAATAAAAATTTTCTTTTTCCCGTAATGATTTATGACCCATCACAGTTTCTAGAAAAAAAATAAGATTAAACGGACCTTTTGATTTAACACTGTTTAAGAATAAACGTTTCTCTTTTGTATTGTAAAAACGTTATTCGCGGCGAACATACAAAAGAATGGCCAGCCAGAAAACTTTTTAGCCTTTACCACGAGAAGCTTTGTTTTTCTGTGAAAAACAAGGACGGACCTACTGAACTCTTTATTTTCACGACATAATCCTTGGATATGATAATCTAACATACCATGTGCCCCTGTAGACAACTGTAAACGCTACAGACTGTCTTTAAAGCATTGTACTGTATCAAGCTAGAAGCGATAGATCTGGAAATTGAGGAAAGATTTGCTTCATAGCAGACTACAGCACTGTGAGCCATCAACTTAATGTATTTGTTACATTACCTTTAAAAGGGACATCTTTCCGTTTTTTACATGAAAACATGCCTTCTGTCTAAAGGTCTTAAACCTTTACAATTATTACGAGTTATAATTATTAAAGTATTACATTGGCCTTGTGCATCACTATCATTTAAGCTTTCTTTGATGTATGTCATATTTCAGATACACAAACCTTTGAATTTTTCACAAAGCAATGTCCATGCTGTTTAAATTATTTACAACGTTCCACCCTGACTGCAAGATTTAGCACCGTTACATTTGTTGAATGAATAAAAATAAAGGGTTGATGTAATTATTTTATTTCTGTGGGTTTTATCCTACTTGTTTTGGCATCTTCATTCACTTAACAAAACAGAAGGCTTCACTATTATGATAATTAACCCGTCAACCATTTATAAGTTATACCTTCATAACAGGCCTATTTAAGGGGGATGCGTATGGATTTTGGGGAGGGGAGGGAGATAATGAGCTGAATCATGTCTCGAAGCTTTGATTTATCACTTTGTGAATTTTAGTTTTTAGCATTTTCCTAAAAAATGATTTAAGCTGGGTTCTCAGTTAAGTCTGTAACATGGAGGGCGTATCTTTTCAAGTTCAGTTTGTGAGGAGTTGCTGAATGATTAGAACCTATTATGTGAAATACTGGACTCTTGTGGTGTTTCAGATACACTATATTAGATATTTCAGCATAGTCAGTACCTTCTGAACAAGATTCTGGCATTTGTAAATCCTAAAATGGATTGAACTGCTGTGCAGTGGCCCTCTTTTTTTCCCCTGCACTGTAAGTATACCAAACCTATGATCTACTATGGAGGTGGTAGAGTACAAAAGGGAATTGCTGTAACTGATTGTGTCCCAACCCCTTGGCGTGTACAAGGGAGACGGAAAGCAGCCTGAAACTCCTGCTTCATCATTAATGCAGCATGTAAGGCAATAGCCTTGTTCAGGGCTTTAATGCCTTATAAAAAATTATTGCTCCACCAAAGCTTTCAGTAAAAATTATTGAAGAAATTAGTCACCTTTTTATATAATAGCATACCGTTTTAAAGTCTGTACATTTTAACTATGCTTTCTGCTCTTCTTTTTCTGCTGGTATCACCATGGTGTCTATTTTTCTCCTGAAGATCAAATTGCAGTGATGATACATTACAAATTAGGCCAGCATTACCAATTGTTATGACAACCTACCTTCCAGTTTGCGGCTGCCTGTGGTCAGAGTATGAAAAAAAATATCAAGCATAGTTGGACTTGCTGGAGCCTGTAGGACTGAGATAAGTGAAATTTTCAGTCTATGGGCTGAGACTGATTCCACATGCAGTAACAGGAATAAATTGTTTCTTTATGGCATTGCACCAGGAGTGTATTTTTAGATTTTTTTTTCAGGTTATAATTGTATTAACTATATGATGTATAAACCCCTTTCTATTTATGTTTCGCTGGTGCCCAGCTGACATTTAATTTGATGAGCTGCTCATCATTTTTTTTCCTGAAAAAGTCCCTGTCCTTATGGGAATTTCTTCTATTTATATAGCTTTAGTGGTCTATTTGTCTAGGAATTTATCATGATCGTAAATATGCATTACTCCTAGCTCTAAAACACTGGTAATCCTTGCAAAGGCTGGGGTTTATCAAGTTAAATCTGCTATTGTCTGGCTGTTTGGAGATTATGTCCTGACTGACTGGCAAGTTTATCTGGCTTTAGTGTCATCTCAACAATGCTTTGGTTTCTAAAGCGTCTACTATGGCAGGAGTCTCTCTCTAGAAAGCAGATACTGGTAATAGCCAAAGAGGAGAAAAGGGTGTTTAAAATGAGTTTCCTTACATAGATTAGGTTGTATTTTGCTTCCATCCTTGAAATTTATTTTACTAATGTATGCCAATGGAAAAAAAAAATCAAGTACATCTCAAGAGTATTCTGTTCTATTAACAAATCTTGTTTTTTTGTATTGCCTGATCTTGTATTTCTGTTTTGAGAAGAGAGATATGTAGTTACAATTGTAACTGTTTAGCTAACATTTAGTTGAATTCTGCCTTAAATTGGATTGTAAATAATTTAGATAATGTGGACAAGAAAGGATGGTTCATCAACATCTAGATTGAGAGCATATATTTAGAGGGATGGTTACCAAACAAACTACTGTTCCTAAAAAAAAATACAATTATGGCGAGAGATCTTGTTAATCTAATAAATGTTTGTTCCATGGGAATTGTCTCACAGCCCATTTCTGTTCAGAGAATTCTCAGTCTTTAAAGCTACGACTGTGCAGCAAGTGGACCAGAATGGTTCCATTGGGGTTTTAAGAAGTGGTGGTATCCATCTGGCTCATTTGACTTGTGACGGATTTCACACCATGCCACAGGAGGTGAAACATGTTAAATGCAAGTGAGTCATCCTCAGGTTTTATGTTTAGGAGTTAAACATTTCTTGTTACTCCCCCCTAGTCTTCAATCTGGCCATCTTCCTTTTTCTGTCTTCACTGGAGAAAGCATACTATATGCCTTGTACTACATCTTCATAACTAATCAGATGCCTTTTTATCCTATGTCAATTTGAAGCACTACCCTGAAATAGTTTCCCACATACATTGTACTGTATCTGTGCCCACATCAAATAAATAAATAGAGAAGTTTGATTGTCTTTGCTGCTTATTATCTCTTATGTCAACAATGTTTTTCTTTTTTATTATTTTCATTCTTAAATATATTTTTTAATACAACAATTAGGAAAAATAAATGGAACTGTGTAACCCGAAATATCCTGAAAGCCTACATTGTGCATTAACAGTGTAATTATTGGTGATCGGTTTGCTTTTCATGAGCTATTGGGTTATATTTATTAATCACCAGTCCTACATTTATACCTTCTTTGGTGGTAATAACATTTTATGTATTACAAAATTATAGAAAATTATAGTGCCCATATAGAAAATTGAAAATTAGTGATTAAAATGAAGAATCTGCAATAAATTGTCCTGGTATTAAAGAGATCAAAAGCAATCTTTTAATGTACCAATTCAGAGACAAATTAATCTTTGTTTATCTGAAGAAGATATTTGATGATATGATAATGTTATAGTAGTACTGTAGCTGTGTACATTAAAGTAAGTAAATCATGACAAATTAACCACACATCTTTCACTTATTTTGGTTGTTCTGGATTTTTTTTTTCTTAGTGTATATTTACAGATGTATTGCATGTGCATGGTTTCGAAGTTCCCATACAGTGCAATGCATGTAAACAATACAAGCGATAAACCTTAAATGTCCTCTTTTCTGTTATACAGTGCTCTCATTAGAGCAGTTCAGTTTGTTGTATCATGACTGCATCGAGAACAATAGCGTCATCCTAGATGTTTAAGCAGCATAGAAGAGTTAGTTTACCTGGAATATACAGATAACTGCAACTTAAAACTGTCTTCACCCTCCCATGCCACTACAGAACACAAATAATCTAGTTGTCGCACCATTTATCTCTGAGTTTTAACTTTTTCATGTGTCATAAAGCTCTTTCTCAATTAAAGAATAGGTGAATTGTCCCTTCTCTGAAATATAAGGTATTTGGGTATAAACTCCAAATGTGTGGAGATTCCTTAAAATTCATTTTGGGTGGTGAATTTTGATGAAATGC